GCCGCTGCGCCAGCATTCGACGAAACCCGGCGGAGGGGGAAGGGGGGAAGCCAAACGGAACGAGCGCAGAGTTTGGTGGTCCGCATTGGCCGAGGCCGCCACAGAGGTGGTCTAACGGCGGACTCCATCTCCCGGTCGTGGCAGCCGAAACACGGGCGCGTGTTTGGTCACCCCCTACAACCACCCCCACCCCACTCCCCACCAACGCTTCCGTCTACCCAGCCGCGTTAAAGGAGTAGGTCAGTTGGCCGGTCGGCAGGTGTGTGGGGTAAAGTGCGCGTAACTTCTATCTCTTGCAAGACGTACAGCGTTGAAGAAAAAGTAGACCAAATACGCTGGAGAACGACTCTCCAGAGTTCTGTTAAGTTGGGAGGGTCTTCCGCCAGCAGCGAGGTGGGCGAGACATTGCAGCGTCGCGCCTCCACCTCTGGTTAAGTAGGCGAAGGTTTTTCCGATGGACCACTTGGGGCATAATCACGGAGAGCCATTTCCCGGGTCGCTAACGCTGCGGTTGCTGCGTTAGGGACGTACGGGATGAGAATGGATTTTATTCATTTGATGGATAGCGCCGCTGGGTTTTATGTATTTTTTTTCCTTTCTTCACGGTGATATTTTGATTAAGGGGAAATGCCGCTCAGACCGAATATTAATTCCTGGGAGACGTTTGGGGAGTTTGGCCCTTCTTAAACTGTCAGCGGCTGCTCGATCGCTCGAGGGGTTCCGAGTCGCGGGAGATTAATTTTGACATTCGGTCCGGACTAATGACACCGCGCCACGGACGGCAGGGTGAGCGGGTGTCCCTGAGAGACCACGGGAAATCTCGCTTGACATCAGCGGTGCCAACCATTCTGCCACTCGGCTAAACCGGAAATCACGACCGACAAATCACACACCACACCGCTGGAAGAGAGACAGTTAAACTAAACTAAACATTATTTTCTATTTTTCCAGGTAAGGCCCACTGAGCTTCTTCTTCTTGGTTCTTTCGGTAAAGTCACGTCGAAGGGAAGTAATAAAATAATAAAAATATAACATAATAAAATAATTCTCACGACGTTTCGGCCACAAACGTCGTGATAATTATTTTATTATGTTTATTTTTATTATTTTATTACTTCCCTTCGACGTGACTTTACCGAAAGAACCAAGAAGATGAATCCCTGCAGTCACGAAAGCTTTAAATCGAAATTTAGCCCACTGAGCTATGTAGCTTTTTTTCAGAAGCGACCTGGCTATCACTAACGAGAGCTCAACGAAGTGGCTTATCGCGTGGACATTTATAGCAGCCAAATACTCTAAATGCGTGTTTCTAAATGTGGAGGGATAAAAAACCGGAGGACCCAGAGAAAAATCCACACGACCACGGGGAGAAAGAGACATGCAAACTCCAAATATACAGGCGTCATGGTCGGGATCGAACCCACGACCTCCTGCATACCAGACGAGGTAGTTAACATCTCACCACTACGGCACCACCAACTCGCCCTCCCCGGCTCCAGAGAGTCGGAGAATCGTCACAATTCGCTGAGCGCGGAGCGGCCAGGCCGACCGATGATCCAGCGCTCACGAATTCACTCTGGTCACTCGCTCGTCGGCAATCAAGCGCCTCCATATCACTCTTCTATCGCTACTGCTACCATGAAATCCAGATGGAAGATCAAACCCAGATCCACTACCATGGTTACTGTTCCCGTATAAGCGCCGCTCGTTGATTCCTCCTCCACCACCCGTGCTGAGGACTGTGCCTGCCAGGGACGGATTGTGTCATCTCATTCACCACACGGTGTTCAACCACCACACTGTAGGTCACTAACCCACCTACCCACTCATTTACCCACCCACTCGCCGCACTGCACGTCACCTCACATCTCTCTCTCTGCTTCTCCTATCCATGACAACGTCGCCACGAGAGATATGTTGTTGGCGACCTCTCGCCGCTTTGGGCCGACTGGGGCCCGTGATCAGCAACTGCGCTGAGAGAACAAAATCACGGCCGCGGTGTTTTGATCCACGAATCGATTTTTTTTGCTTTTGTAAATCTCGTTGGCAATGCTTTGCCCCCCCCACCCCGCATATCATTTACATAAATCTCAGAGTAATCAATAACGCACACGCGTGATTGGACGCACGCGGCATCATCGCGCAGATCTATTGTTATCAAAACCATAGTTCATACCTCGGGGCCGTCCCTAGGGAGGGAGGGAGGGAGGATTGGTGGGGGTCACAGCCAGGGGTCAAGGGAGAGGCACTGGACAGATGGACGGGGGCGCACGGCTTTCTCCACGCCCCCCCCCCCGCATCCTCTATCTCACTCCACCCCCCACCCAACATAATATTTAGCGATAAAAGCTGTGAGACACGGAGATGCCGTGGGTGATGATGATTATAATGGTGGGTGATGTTGATGAGTGGTGATGGTGGGTGATGGTGATGGGTGGTGATGGTGATGGGTGGTGATGGTGGGTGATGGTGATGGGTGGTGATGGTGATGGGTGGTGATGGTGGGTGATGGTGATGGGTGGTGATGGTGATGGGTGGTGATGGTGATGGGTGGTGATGGTGGGTGATGGTGATGGTGGGTGATGGTGATGGGTGGTGATGGTGATGGATGGTGATGGGTGGTGATGGTGGGTGATGGTGATGGGTGGTGATGGTGATGGATGGTGATGGGTGGTGATGGTGGGTGATGGTGATGGGTGGTGTTGGTGATGGATGGTGATGGGTGGTGATGGTGGGTGATGGTGATGGGTGGTGATGGTGATGGATGGTGATGGGTGGTGATGGTGGGTGATGGTGATGGGTGGTGTTGGTGATGGATGGTGATGGGTGGTGATGGTGGGTGATGGTGATGGGTGGTGATGGTGATGGATGGTGATGGGTGGTGATGGTGGGTGATGGTGATGGGTGGTGATGGTGATGGATGGTGATGGGTGGTGATGGTGGGTGATGGTGATGGGTGGTGATGGTGATGGGTGGTGATGGTGATGGGTGGTGATGGTGGGTGATGGTGGGTGATGGTGATGGGTGGTGTTGGTGATGGATGGTGATGGGTGGTGATGGTGGGTGATGGTGATGGGTGGTGTTGGTGATGGATGGTGATGGGTGGTGATGGTGGGTGATGGTGATGGGTGGTGATGGTGATGGGTGGTGATGGTGATGGGTGGTGTTGGTGATGGATGGTGATGGTGGGTGATGGTGATGGGTGGTGATGGTGATGGGTGGTGATGGTGGGTGATGGTGATGGGTGGTGATGGTGATGGGTGGTGATGGTGATGGGTGGTGTTGGTGATGGATGGTGATGGGTGGTGATGGTGATGGGTGGTGTTGGTGATGGATGGTGATGGTGGGTGATGGTGATGGGTGGTGATGGTGGGTGATGGTGATGGGTGGTGATGGTGGGTGATGGTGATGGGTGGTGATGGGTGGTGACGGTGATGGGTGGTGATGGTGGGTGATGGTGATGGGTGGTGATGGTGATGGGTGGTGATGGTGATGGATGGTGATGGGTGGTGATGGTGGGTGATGGTGATGGGTGGTGTTGGTGATGGGTGGTGTTGGTGATGGTGGTGATGGATGGTGATGGTGGGTGATGGTGATGGGTGGTGTTGGTGATGGGTGGTGATGGTGGGTGATGGTGATGGGTGGTGATGGTGATGGGTGGTGATGGTGGGTGATGGTGATGGGTGGTGATGGTGATGGGTGGTGATGGTGGGTGATGGTGATGGGTGTGATGGTGATGGGTGGGTGTTGGGGATGGGTGAGGTGGTGATGGTGATGGGTGGTGTTGGTGATGGGTGGTGATGGGGTGATGGGGTGTGGTGATGGTGATGGGTGGTGTTGGTGATGGGTGGTGATGGTGGGTGATGGTGATGGGTGGTGTTGGTGATGGGTGTGATGGTGTGGTGATGGTGATGGGGGGTGATGGTGATGGGTGGTGTGGTGATGGTGATGGGTGGTGTTGGTGATGGTGATGGTGGGTGATGGTGATGGGTGGTGTTGGTGATGGGTGGTGATGGTGGGGTGATGGTGATGGGTGGTGATGGTGATGGTGGGTGATGGTGGTGATGGTGATGGGTGGTGTTGGTGATGGGTGGTGATGGTGGTGATGGTGAATGGGTGGGGATGGTGATGGGTGGTGAGGGTGGGTGATGGTGATGGGTGGTGATGGTGATGGGTGGTGATGGTGGGTGAGGTGATGGTGGTGTTGGGATGGTGGTGAGGTGGGTGATGGTGATGGGTGGTGTTGGTGATGGGTGGTGATGGTGGGTGATGGTGATGGGTGGTGATGGTGATGGGTGGTGATGGTGGGTGATGGTGATGGGTGGTGTTGGTGATGGGTGGTGATGGATGGTGTTGGTGATGGTGATGGGTGGTGTTGGTGATGGGTGGTGATGGTGGGTGATGGTGATGGGTGGTGATGGTGATGGGTGGTGATGGATGGTGATGGTGATGGTGGTGATGGTGATGGGTGGTGATGGGTGGTGATGGTGATGGATGGTGATGGTGATGGTGGTGATGGTGATGGGTGGTGATGGGTGGTGATGGGTGGTGATGGTGATGGGTGGTGATGGGTGGTGATGGGTGGTGATGGTGATGGGTGATGGGTGGTGATGGGTGGTGATGGGTGGTGATGGTGATGGGTGGTGATGGTGATGGTGGTGATGGTGATGGGTGGTGATGGGTGGTGATGGTGATGGGTGGTGATGGGTGATGGGTGGTGATGGGTGGTGATGGGTGGTGATGGTGATGGATGGTGATGGTGATGGTGGTGATGGTGATGGGTGGTGATGGGTGGTGATGGGTGGTGATGGTGATGGGTGGTGATGGTGATGGGTGGTGATGGGTGGTGATGGTGATGGTGGGTGATGGTGATGGGTGGTGATGGTGATGGTGGGTGGTGGTGATGGTGGGTTACGGTGGGTGATGGTGATGGCAGGAGGGTGGATGCAGGTGGTGACGGAGGCAATTTAGCTCAACCCGCGCGCCGCGTGACCACTCACCCTGCATGTTGAACTTGGAGCGCCGAGCGTATTTGCTGCTGAAGACGCAGAGCAGAGTGAGCATCGCGCACGCAAACGCCGCCACCCCGACCGCCACGTACGCCTGGGGTCCCGGGCAGGGGTATGAGTCCAGGGGTAGAGGTAGGGGTAGACATGCAGGGGTAGAGATCCAGTGATAGAAATCCAGGGGTAGGGTTAAAGACGGGGGTAGGGTTAGAGACGAGGGTAGGGTTAGAGACAGGGGTAGGGTTAGAGACAGGGATAGGGTTAGAGACAGGGGTAGGGACAGGGGTAAGAAACAGGGGTAAGGGGTAGAGATCCGTGGATAGGAATCCACAAGGGGTCCAGTGGGTATCGGTGGCATCAGGGGAGGAGGAACAGCAGCAGGAGGAGGTAGCGAGACAGAAGGGGGTGGAGATCAGAATAAAATGAATGTCTCGGATCAATGAACACAATTCCTGCTTTAATGAGTGTGGGCGGTGTCCATGTGTTTTGCTGGCCTGGACACAGTGGTGGAAATTCCACATTCGCATGACAGGGATCAGTGTAACTGCGAGTAACTTCCCACAAATGATGATGATGATGATGATCAAGATTGAAACATAATTACGATGATGATCAAAATGATGATTGATGGCCCAGCAGGATTCCATCTTTCAAACATCTCATTAACCCAGTCAAACGAGTATCTCTACAGTGCATCATAGCTGAGGCCATTGTGTGCCAACACCAGCGTGAAAATTTGCCAAACGTGAGACGGACTCACCGCCACGCTGTCGACCACACGCCCCGTCACCGCCGGGGGTCCCGTGCTGTTGCCGTCGGGGCCCTCTGCGGAGGCAGGGTCAGAGTTCGAGTCCGCACCCAGACATGTCGTGCAGCATGTGAGGCGCCTGGTGCGTCTCGTCGCTGGCAAGTCACGGTGGTGAGATGTGAACATACCTCGCCCGATATACAGGAGGTCGATGGTTCTATTCTAACCATGACGCCTGTTGTATATTTGAATTTTGCATGTTCTCCCTGTGGTCGCGTGGATTTTTTCTCCAGGTCTTCCGCTTTTTCCTTCCGCATTCAAAATCAATGTGCATTTCGAGTCTTTTGGCTGCTATACATTTCCACACGACGAGGCACCTCGTTGAACTGTCATTTGTGATAGCCAGGTCGCTTCTGAAAATCAGCTGTATAGCTCAGTCGGCCTTACCTTGTGAAGTAAAAAGAGGCAAGAGTCATAGTTTAGTCACGCGGCGAGTGAGCGATGCAAATCCATGACGCTGGTTCACTTCTAGAAGGAGTGGAGAGTGGCGATGCAGTTCCAGCGCGATCGATTCGAGCTGTGTGCCAGGTGGAGTCTACCAGGTCGTGTCCAGGAGTGTACCAGGACAATATGGGAGGCCACTCTTTGGATTTAGGCCTCTAAACAAATTTTTTAAAAGGGGCGGAAAAACTTTCGTCTCAAAAAAAAAGCTCAGCTTGTTTGTCGATAGCAACGCGTGTGTTTGGTCTGAACGGGGAAATGTGAATAATGGGCGACGTTTTGGACAGAGGTAGGGTGAGGGCCTCTCTATTCATGTGCCATGAAGAAGGGCCATTGCCCGAAACGTCGCCTATCGTAAATATGTTTCATTTATTTTAAGGCCATACAATCTTATTGATAAACGTTGTTGTTTGGCTTTCGTGCTTGTGCAGCGCAACCAACGACCCAGCCCAGCTCGCTGCCCCACGTCAGATTCTTGCACTTTGTTGGGAAGAGCGTGACCCTACAGGGCATGACCCCAAAGAGTATGACCCTAAAGAATGGGGGGGTAGGGGGGTGAGCGGGCACCCACCTGGGTAAGGATCGTAGAAGTGCTCGTCTTCCTCAGGACCTGCGGGAGGCAGAGCGATGAAGGGTTTCTTAGCGATGATGGTGATGACGATAACGACGATGGTGGTGGCGATGATGTTGATGATGGGGGTGGTGGTGGTGATGATGAAGTTGGCACAGTAGGGGGTATAGGTGGTGCATCGTCCATTCATCTCACTCAGTCGACCCGTGGCACCTGCCGGGTCTGCCCCGTGACATCCTGCCGGTGGGCGTTCGACACTTCACGTGGCCTCAACGTGCACCTAGCCTGGCATAGGCGTCGTGGTGACGTCACCGCCACTTAGTGGCGAATGGCGCTTGATGTTGTTGTTGTTGGTGGTGGTGATGATGATAGTGGTGATTAAGGTGATTGACCCTCGAAATCTCAACGAGGGCTCGGCAACCTCCAGTCCCGGAGCCGCACGCGCCTTTTCATCTTCTTCAAGGACTCCTTCGTGGCGTTATTTATTTATTTAATCAGGAACCACCGTCTTGTGGTCACCACACTGCATTGTACGGATCTTCAAATATCAAATTTTTTTCTGTTTCACCAAATTCGAAAAAACAAACGGCTCCTATTTTGGTTTGCCGGCACTGCGACCTCAACGAACTTCGAAACAACAACCACAACAACAACAACCATAACAACAACAACCACGCGGTCACACGTCCGCCCGCCCGCCCGCTCGCTCGGCGATCACCTATCCCGTGGGGTCGATCCTGGAAGTGGCAGGCGACGGTGCGCTCGTCCCAGCCCAGCTCGCTGCTGACCCTCAGCGTGTAGTTGCCGTTGTCCACGTGCGTCGCCGCGTCCAGGTGGAGGCAGCCGGGCCGCCGCGAGGCCCCCGCGCGGCCCAGGAGGCGCGTGAAGACGAGCGGTGACTCGGCCAGCGGCTCGCCGTTCTTGCTCCACGCGAGGCTGGGCCACGGGTTGCCGCGCGCCACGAACGGCACGCACCAGTGGTGGTGCCGCTCGGGGTCCTCCATCGACACGATCGACGGGGGGACTGCGGGGGGCGGGGGGGAGCGGTGGCGTAGCGGTTAGCGCGCTCCGCTACGGAACTTGGCGACCCGGGGGGGTTCGATTCCCGCTCGCTCGCCAGCGACACCGGTGACGATAATTACCTGCAGCCTAGATCGACTCAGCCTCAAATGAGTAGCTAGTGCGGTGTGTAAACATCGCCAATGGGGAGACAAAGGCGGCCGGGCGTGGTGTTGGCCACCCACCCCTTCGTGTGCCGTGCCGGCCTTCATTGGTGCTCGCTCGCAGCACTTGCCCCAACCGTCTGTTGCAGCCTATACGGGGGATCTTTGTCTTTGATTGTGGTAGATTGTTAATGGTGGTTGTTGGTGGTATTGGTTGGACTATATTGGTTTGATATTGAGAGCTGCTTTTTGCGTGTGTTTGTTTGTTGTCCTTCCACCGCACCTCCGATTAGCACCGTTGGCTTTTTACGGTGCAAAATGAGTTCAACATCCATACATTCATACATTTAATTCGTGGTTAAACATCAAACCGGGGAGTCAACCCACGGCTCCTGGGTCTGTCCCGTGACTTCCTGCGAGCGAGCCTTTGACACTTCTCGTGGCCTCAAAGTGCACCTAGCCTGGCACGAGCGCCGTGGTGACGTCATCGCCACGTGGTGGAATTCATATTGGTTGTGGTGGTGGTTGTTGTTGCGGTGGTGGTGTGGTGAGCGATAGACCGCATCTCCACCACGCCCCGCACACTCGACGTCTCGTGATCAATGGGAACAGATCTTCAAGCTGCCTCCTTCATCGAATTATCGCTCGCAATCAAGTTAATGAAGGCGTGGGGAGGGAGGGGGTTGAGTGGGCTGGGAGAGCCCCCACCCCCAATGTACCATCGATGTTTTTTGGAGAAAGAAAAAATCCGCGTTCAATGCCTCGTCTGCCCAACGTCACCATGCATCGTGTTTGTGTTTCACAAATATGTTTTGTGTGTGTGTTATATTGCGTGGTGCTGGCCACCCACCCCCTCGCGTGCCGTGCCGGCCTTCATCGGAGCTACTCGCTAACAGCACTTGCCCCGACAGTCTATTACAGGCTATACAGGGGACCTTTGGCTTTGTTTATTGAGTCCTGTACCACGAGTGTGTGTATTTAACAGTGTTTATGTTGAATGTATTGCGTGTTTTATAGTGGTTGTCAACATTGTTCGTGTATTAGTAAAGTGTGTGTGTAGAACAGGGGGAGAACACGCAGAAAGGCACCCGGGTCGGTAATCAAACCCAGGCACCTCTTGCTGTGAGGCGCGAGTGTTACCACTGCGCCCAAAATCTAAAGGGGAACCAAGGGAAACGTCTCCTCGAGCCGTCCTGTGCAGCTGATGCGCACGTGCCGTAGGCCACTCACACAGGACGCGGAGTCGAACCGAGGCGTTCCTCTCTCCGAAGGGGTTATAGGCCACGCACGTGACCACCGCTCCGTCCTGCTCGGCGGAGACGTTGAGCAGGAGGAGCGTGGAGGTGGAGGAGTTCTCCGATGAGGTTCTGGAGATGGTGTACGAGGAGGACGAGGTAGTGGAGGAGGAGGTGGAGAGGATTTTGCCCAGTCCAGAGATCCCGAATGTCTGGGGTATAAATTATGACAAGGTGAGATCGGTCTCTTGAATTCATGCGAGACTAACTCATTAGTTTTCTAACTTATTATGTTTCTATCTACATGACTTTACCGAAAGACCCAAAGAAGATGAGACTAACTCAGCCAAACCCCAAGCCTAGCCCTAATCACAGCTGTAAACCTAGGCCTAACTCTAACCTAGTCCTAACTCTAACGCTAGTTCTAACCATAGCTATGATGGCCGCTCCTGCGGCCGTCTGGAACGCTCTTCCTTCCGATATTAGGAGGCCACTGGCGCTATGTACTTTTAAATCATCCAGATTGAAAACTCATTTCTTTCGTACAGTTTTTTGTGTTTCGTTTTCTGTCCTTCCTCCGCACCGCCGATTAGCACGGTTGGCTACGGACGGTGCGAAGGAAGTTCAACGAACGTACATAACAATGGCAATAATCACTCCAATATAAACCTATTCCTTACCTCTAACAATAGCCCAAGCCATGAACAGACCTGGCACTCACTCGCCTTCATCACGAACCGCGCCCTGTCACGAGCCTCTACCCCGACCCTTACAATAAATACCACCTTGATTGTAAACCCAGCCCTACCCTTACTCATAAACCTAGCACTAACCTGGCCCGAACTATATACAACCCGGCTCTAACCCTGGCCCTAAGCCTCGCCCTCATGCTTGCTGTGCCTAGCTAGATGCACCCTGGGCTCCCGGTCACACACACACGCACGCGTACGTGAGTGCTCAGCGCCGACTGGTCCCAGGTGAGGATGGGGGAGGGGCGCCCACGGGAGGTGCACGTGAGCTCGGCCTCCTCGCCCTCCCTCGGCGCGCCGCCTCCAGCCCAGCGCAGCTCCACGGAGGAGGGCTCCTCCTGGCCTGCACGAGACAGCGGGGGCAGCGACGCTCGCACGGTGCGCCAGGGCGCAGTGGCGTGCAGGGGAGTCGTGGCGGACGTTGTTGTCTGCCGCTCCAATGAACGTCGGGGGATTGGCGGAAATTCCGAGTGGCTCCGCAGGACAACTATTGATGACTTCCCAACCACAAAGTTGTACTTGTTTTACCGCCTGCAGAGGGATGATTTATCTGAACTCGCAGCCCACCGATTGCGAGCCGCTTGCTCTGCCGCTGCGCCACCCGGCCGGAGGAAGGGGATTGATGAATCATTGAAGATTGTTCGGGCCCCCCACCCCAACCCCAACCCCCCACCCCAACCCCCAAACCCCCCCCCATATATTTTCCGGAGCTCAACCCCGGACAGCTCCGTAGTGCAGCGGTGTCCCGAACCCCGGTCCTCGAGACGGCCTCGCCACGGTGCCCAGACAACTCCCTCGTTAAGAGACAAATCGAGCTGCGTTAGACGCTGCACGCGCCCGTAAACAAAGACAAAGATCCCCCGTATAGCCTTTGCAGAATGTTGGGCCAAGTGCTGTTAGCGAGTAGCACCTATGAAGTGTGGGGGAGGGGGGGCGCCCTGGAGCGTACTGAGTGGATCAAGGCAGGGCACGTACCGCACAGCTCCCTGGAGGGGCTCACGGACTCCCGGCTGGAATTCCCTGCACCACCACCTCCTCCTCCCGCTGCTGCTGCTGCCGCCGCTTCTTCCTCCCCGCAATGGGAGTGGGACTCCCCGCCGTGGGGGAGCAGGGCCAGCCCCGCCATGGCGCGGAGCCACGACATCTGACAGGAGCAGGCCACCAGCGGGTTCCCTCTCACCGCTCTGATCCCGGTAGGGAGAGGGGCGGGGTAGGATTACGGGGGGCAGATAGGTGAGAGGGACACGGGAGGGGACACGGCAGGTGCGTGCTTCAGATGGCGTGCGGCTCAGCTAGGCGGGACCCGTACGAGTCCGGCGGGCAGGGGGAAGAGAAGGCCTGAGGCCAGGATGGCGAGGGGAGGCTGTCAGGGCAGACCGTGGTGGTCTCGTGTCTCTATGCGGTGCAGCAGCGACGGAATCTGGCGGAGGAGAGAACGCGTGGGCGAGGTGGTGGTGGTGGCGGCTACGGCGTTACCCATCGTGCCATCTTGTGATCTTCAAGAGATATAAGACGGGCGAAATATATATATATATATCAGAGACACAAGGGAGGAGAGTTTATCATTAGTTCGAGATATAATGTGAAGATTGGAGATGAGCGATATCAAGAATATTTAGCAGGGACACGAGCTAAATCTACGGTAAGAGATTTGGCGCAACTGCGAGTTCGACTCCCGGCGACGGCTAACATCAGTGGCGAGCGTTCCGTGAGCGGGTCCTGTCTTGTTGCGTTAAATCACGGCTACCGGAGCACAGACCAAAGCCGCCAGTTACCCGCACTGCCCGTCGTGGTGAAGTATGGTCGATCGACCGCCTACAGCCAACACGGAAGTCGGTCTTCATCCAACAGCGGTTTGACAATGGGCTGTACAATATGAAAAATGAGAATTGGTTTAACCACTTCTGGCAATACCACAGGAGGTGTTAAGATGTTCAAACACCAGCTAGACACAAATTATCGAGGAATCAAGTCTGCATTAACCACACGTGCTCGTGGTGAACATGCAAACAAACATGTTCTGACAATATTTGATTCCTTGCAAAAAGGTTTCTAGTTGGTGTTTTAACATCTTAACACCTCCGGTTTTATTGCCAGAAAGGGTAAAACCTTTTCTTGTTTTTCTTACTTTGATACCGGCTAAAAAGATCCCACGATGGGCTGTACAATATTTGTTATTGTAACGATTCTATCGCATGTGTGTATGATTTTCGGGGGGGGGGGTGATTTAGGGGGGTGGGGGAGGTCAAGATTGTGGGGGGTCTGACACGAGTGGTAAGAGAGAGAGAGGGGGGGGTGAGTGGGGGGTCATTGTTGGGGTGATGGGATGGAGCGTCCGGCGCAAGTTTCAGACGCATTCCGTGCTGGGCCGGACTGGAGTTGATGAATCTGCCTGTCGAGTAGGAAATGTTCGCGCCCTGGTGCGTGGAGGGCAGCCCTCCATAAAGATTAACTGCAGTGTTAAGTCATTGCTCACACGCGACGTGTACACACACACGCGTACACATACGTGTCCATACACCGGCTCAAATTTCACTCGCCACTGATGTTAGCCGTGACCGGGAGTCGAACTCAGTGTAAAGCCACTGCTGTCACCGCTCTCCACACACGCGCGCACACACACGTGCGCGCGCGGAGGCACGCACTGAGACACACGCACACACAAGAGTACACGTACTCATGATGCACAACACAACATGAACAGAGTTGAATGAGTAGCCGGCACGGTGTTTAAACATCAGCGTTGGGGAGACAAGAGGCGTGGTGCTGGCCACCCACCGCCTCGTGTTGCCGTGCCGGCCCGTCAGAGGGGCTCGTTGACAGCGCTTGTCCCCAATACTCCGATAGAAAGGCTGCTCGGGTGTTGTGGGTTTTTGTGTCTTTGTGGTGCCAAGTCCCGGGACTGAACTCACAGGCGGGAGAGGTGGAGGCCGCGCAGGGCAGCCCAGGGCAAGGAGCTCAGGTTGTTGGCGGAGACATCTCTGCGGGAGAGAGACGCAAGAGACGATTTATACCCTCAGGGAGATCAGGGGCGAGTGCGCGCACACACGCGGACATGTGTGTGGGTGTGTGTGTGTCTTTGTGCGTCAATGTGTGTGAGTGTGTCAGGCGTGGTGCTTGCCACCTATCCCTCGTGTGCCGTGCCGGCCTTCATAGTGGCTCGCTAACAGCACTTGTGTATATTGTGGGGAGCGCAGGTGGTGCATCTGCCAGCTAATCCCGTCCACCCATGTCACATGGGTCTGCCCCGTGATATCCTGCCCGCGAGCCTTCGACACTTGGCGTGGCCTCAGGGTAGCACCTAGCCTGGCACGAGCGCCGTGGTAACGTCACGGCGGTTGTGTGTGTTGTGGGGAGCGGTAGTGCAGTGGTTAGCACACTTCCTAGTTCCTAACGAATCCCGCTAATGGCCAACATCTTGCAGGACGCTACTGGGCAGTTTGCGTTCATTTTATGGCTGGGATTATGGTCAGTGTTAGAGTTCGGTTCAGTGTTAGGGTTAGGGTCGGTGTTATGGTCAGTGTTATGATCAGTGTTAGTGATATGATCAGTGTTATGGTGAGTGTAAGTGTGAGGACCAGTGTTAGTGTTATGGTTACTGTTAGTGTAGGATGAGTCTCACATGCTCTGTAGCTCCGTGTTGAGTTGGAACGCTCTTGGGGAGACGGAGCGCAGTCCTGAAGCCACGATGGATCTGACGGGGAGCGGAGATAGCCACAGAGAGAGAGAGGGGGAGAGTCGTGGACGTATTCGAGGAGAGAGAGACTCAGTCATAGGATCACAGAGGCAGCCATCGAGTGAGCGTCAAGCGACTCAACGATTTAAACGGAGTCGGAGACTGGCATGTTCCGAGAGAGTCAGAGAGTCAGAGAGTCACACAGAGAGTCACACAGAGAGTCACACAGAGAGTCACTCAGAGAGTCACACAGATAGTCACACAGAGAGTCAAACAGAGAGTCACACAGAGAGTCACACAGAGAGTCAAACAAAGAGTCACTCAGAGAGTCAAACAGAGAGTCACACAGAGAGTCACACAGAGAGTCAAACAGAGAGTCACTCAGAGAGTCACTCAGAGAGTCACTCAGAGAGTCACACAGAAAGTCACTCAGAGAGTCACACAGAGAGTCACTCAGAGAGTCACACAAAGAGTCACACAGAGAGTCACACAGAGAATCAAACAGAGAGTCACACAGAGAGTCAAACAGAGAGTCACTCAGAGAGTCACTCAGAGAGTCACACAGAGAGTCACTCAGAGAGTCACACAGAGAGTCACACAAAAAGTCACACAGAGAGTCACACAGAAAGTCACACAGAGAGTCACACAGAGAGTCACACAGAGAGTCACACAGAGAGCCACTCAGAGAGTCAAACAGAGAGTCACACAGAGAGTCACTCAGAGAGTCAAACAGAGAGTCACACAGAGAGTCAAACAGAGAGTCACTCAGAGAGTCACACAGAGAGTCACACAGAGAGTCACTCAGAGAGTCACACAGAGAGTCACACAAAAAGTCACACAGAGAGTCACACAAAAAGTCACACAGAGAGTCACACAGAAAGTCACACAGAGAGTCACACAGAGAGTCACTCAGAGAGTCACACAGAGAGTCACACAGAGAGTCACTCAGAGAGTCACTCAGTGAGTCACTCAGAGAGTCACACAGAAAATCACTCAGAGAGTCACACAGAGAGTCACTCAGAGAGTCACACAGAGAGTCACACAGAGAGTCACTCAGAGAGTCAAACAGAGAGTCACACAGAGAGTCACACAGAGAGTCAAACAGAGAGTCACACAGAGAATCACACAGAGAGTCACACAGAGAGTCAAACAGAGAGTCACACAGAGAGTCACTCAGAGAGTCAAACAGAGTCACACAGAGAGTCACACAGAGAGTCACACAGACAGTCACTCAGAGAGTCACTCAGAGAGTCACTCAGAGAGTCACACAGAGAGTCACTCAGAGAGTCACTCAGAGAGTCACACAGAGAGTCACACAGAGAGTCACTCAAAGAGTCACACAGAGAGTCATACAGAGAGTCACACAGAGAGTCACTCAGAGAGTCACTCAGAGAGTCACACAGAGAGTCACAGAGAGAGTCACTCAGAGAGTCACATAGAGAGTCACACAGAGAGTCACACAGAGAGTCACACAGAGAGTCACTCAGAGAGTCACACAGAGATTCACACAGAGAGTCGCACAGAGAGTCACTCAGAGAGTCACTCAAAGAGTCACACAGAGAGTCACTCAGAGAGTCACTCAGAGAGTCAATCAGAGAGTCACTCAGAGAGTCAAACAGAGAGTCACTCAGAGAGTCACACAGAGAGTCACTCAGAGAGTCACTCAGAGAGTCACACAGAGAGTCGCACAGAGAGTCACTCAGAGAGTCAATCAGAGAGTCACTCAGAGAGTCACACAGAGAGTCACTCAGAGAGTCACTCAGAGAGTCACACAGAAAGTCACTCAGAGAGTCACTCAGAGAGTCACTCAGAGAGTCACACAGAAAGTCACTCAGAGAGTCACTCAGAGAGTCACTCAGAGAGTCACACAGAGAGTCACTCAGAGAGTCACACAGAGAGTCACTCAGAGAGTTTGCGTGTCTCTCTCATCATCACGGTGGCTAGGAGATGTTAACTGCCTCGCCTGGTATACAGGAGGTCGGGGGTTCGATTCCGACCCTGACGCCTGCTGCTGCTGTGTATTTGGAGTCTGCGTGTCTCTCTCATCATCATCACGGTGGCTAGGAGATGTTAACTGCCTCGCCTGGTATACAGGAGGTCGGGGTGTTCGATTCCGACCCTGACGCCTGCTGCTGCTGTGTATTTGGAGTCTGTGTGTCTCTCTCATCATCATCACGGTGGCTAGGAGATGTTAACTGCCTCGCCTGGTGTACAGGAGGTCGGGGGTTCGATTCCGACCCTGACGCCTGCTGCTGCTGTATATTTGGAGTCTGCGTGTCTCTCTCATCATCACGGTGGCTAGGAGATGTTAACTACCTCGCCTGGTATACAGGAGGTCGTAGGATCGATTCCTGCTGCTGTATATTTGGAGTCTGCGTGTCTCTCCCCGTGGTCGCGTGAATTTATCTCAGGGCCCTCGGCATTTAGAAACACGCGCTTCGACTATCTGGCTGCAGCAAATGTCCACGTGACAAGCCACTTCGTTGGCCTATCACTGGTGATAACCAGGTCGCTTCTGAAAAAGACCGATGAAGCTCATTGGCCCGACCTGAGAAAATGAAACGATAAAAGTAGTTTATAGGTTAGTAACGGAATCGATTTCCGCCGGAGGAAGCGGCGGTGCCGAACAACGAGCGGAGATCCACGGCGGTCTCCTGCATCTCGACAACTCCATCGCTGCGCCTTTTGGCGTCATCTGGTCCAACACCATGTGATACTAGGCTCTAAAGAAAGCTGTCTCGGGTGTGGACCAATCAACTTCAAGGACATTGCATACCTTATCAGAGTTATGTTTTTTTGTTTGCATTATGATCGCAGGTATTGTGGTTAATGCAAACATGACTCCTTGTAAAAAAAGGTGTCAGTTTTGTTGCCAGATAAAAAGGTAAAAAATTATTATCAACTCCATCGCTGTTGTCTCGCCAATTTGACCAAATTAACCGAACAGTTCGAGTCATGTTTGATTGTTTTGTATAATTATCATCATTGTTGTTGAGATGCGTGCACCGTGTGACTTCTCTGCGACTGCGCGACTCTCTCCGCTTACGAGAGACTTCCGTGAGTTCCCGAGGGGTTGGCTGTGCGCGTTCGAGTCGAGTCCGTGTTGGTTGCGTTGTGAGCGGCGTGGCGTGCTCCTCTCGCCTCGTGGGTGTCTCTCTGTGCGCGTCGCGGTTCGCGAGAGTTCGATTCCCGCTCACGGCCACCGACACCAGTGACTTATATACGCTGCCAAGCTTGGTGGTGTGTCATTCAGACGCTGTCTTTCCGACAGACCTGTTCTTCACCTGAGGACGGCTGCTTGCGTTGTGGCCGAATGTTTTTTGTTTTATTTTTATTATTTTATTATTTCCCTTCTACGTGACTTTACCGAACGAACCAAGAAGATGACACCAGTGGCGTTCATCTGAACCGGTGCTGGGCCTCCCCTAGGTCGACTCAGCCGGAAGTGAGTGCCTGGTGCCGTGTTTAGTAAAGATCGCCGCTAGGGCGACAAAGGCGGCCGGGCCGTAGTGCTTGGCCACCCAACCCCTCGTGTGCCGTGCCGCGGTCTTCATAGGTGCTCGCCACACTTGCCCCAGCAGTCTGTTAAGTCTGCACGGGAGATCTCCGTCTTCATATAGAGTGTACGAACGTCATGTGCGCGCAATAAATGTGTAGCCTACGTATCGCCCACGATCTGTGTAGACAAGGCAAAGGCGCAGCCCTGCAATTTCTAACGCCGTTATTGGCGGAACGGCCTCCACATCGACAGAGCTCTACACAGCCCTTACAGATATAGGCCGTGTACAACATACCCACGTGTACCTCTCTATCCCTCCGTGTACAAGACACCCACGTGTCCCTCTCTATCCCTCCGTGTACAACATACCCACGTGTCCCTCTCTATCCCTCCGTGTACAAGATACTCCACGTGTCCATCTCTATCCCTCCGTGTACAAGATACTCCACGTGTCCCTCTCTATCCCTCCGTGTACAAGACACCCACGTGTCCCTCTCTATCCCTCCGTGTACAACATACCCACGTGTCCCTCTCTATCCCTCCGTGTACAACATACCCACGTGTCCCTCTCTATCCCTCCGTGTACAAGACACCCACGTGTCCCTCTCTATCCCTCCGTGTACAACATACCCACGTGTCCCTCTCTATCCCTCCGTGTACAAGATACTCCACGTGTCCATCTCTATCCCTCCGTGTACAAGATACTCCACGTGTCCCTCTCTATCCCTCCGTGTACAAGACACCCACGTGTCCCTCTCTATCCCTCCTTGTACAAGATACTCCACGTGTCTCTCTCTATCCAGCCGTGACTGATGTGTGGTAGGCTGGAGTACGTTGCACGCCACTTGACTCGCGAGAAACGTGGCGAGATGAGTAATGGATGTGGTGTGCCGAGTGGCACAGTATTTTCCTGGGTCGGATTTCCAGACACACCTCGTTGAAATAATGCCATGTGTGGGTGTGTGTATGAAATGTGTGTATCTGTGTGTGTGTGTATAAAATGTGTGTATCTATGTGTGTGTGTATGTATAAAATGTGTGTCACACAGAGAGTCATACAGAGCGTCGTGTGTGTATGTATACAATGTGTGTATCTCTGTGTGTGTGTATAAAATGTATGCATCTATGTGTGTGTGTGTCTATATATGCGTATGTGTGCCGGTGTGTCTATGGGGAACGGTAGTGCAGTGGGTAGCGTGCTGTGCTACGAATCCGGCGTCCCGAGTTCGAGTCCTGATCCTCCTCTTAGTCGACTCAGCCTTAAATGAGTATCTGATGCGGTGTATACACATCAGTACTGGAGAGACAAAGGCGACCGGGCGTGCTGTTGATCACCCACTATCTCGTGTGCTTTGCCGTCCTTCATAGGTATTCGCCGAGAGCGCTTAGCAGTCTGTTGTAAGGCTACATGTGGGGGTATTTGTCCTCGTGTTTATGTGTGTGTGTGAGTGTGTCCCCGTAGAAAGCTCAGCTCTGTGTGTCTGTGTCCGCCCGTGTGTTCGCGAGTGAATCCCCGGGTCTGCGCGCTCACTCACAGCTCCCGCAGGTGAGGGAACCCGCCCAGGTCTCCCTCCGCCAGCTCTCCCAACTCCGTCTGGTTGTGGATTATTCTGAACGAGAAGAGCAGCAGCAGCAACAGCACCAAGAGCGCAGAGGAGACCATTCAGTTTAGACCGGGTCGACTTCGGGTGAGTGCCAGGAGAACTTTAGATAGAGCGCTCGCCACTGCTGTTAGTCGTGGCAGGGGAATAGACGATTGCTGATGAGACCTAGAAGGTCGAAACCGGTCCCGAGTTTGCCCCGCGTAAACGCCGCCGAGAGGCCGATGGACGGGACCCCCACGGCCTCGTGTGCACGTGTGAGTAGCACGGCGGCACGGGGTCCGGTGGGGAGCGGTGGTGCAGCGGTTTCGCGCGATGCGTGACGGACCTGGCGACCCGAGTTCGATTCTCGCTCATGGCCAAAAACACCAGTGACGATTATTTGAACGTGTCCTGGTATTGGCCACCCACCTCCTCGTGTGTCGTGTCGGCCTTCATTGGTGCTCGCTAACGGCGCTTGCCCCAACAGTCTGCTCAGGCTATACGGGGGATCTTTGTCTTTGGAATCCATCGACATCCGCCAATGTACATCGACATTTGCGTAACGATGGAAGACAGGCGGACGCCTCTACCCATCAGCCCCGACCCGCAGATTTATCGCATCCCATCAGTCAAAACCCGACATACTTCACCAACAGACAATGTTTGCGTGGAACAATGTAGGCTCAAGCACCGCTTATTCCTCTGGGGGTCGATAAAATAGGTACCACTTCGTGGGTGAAATTCAGTCGTGGTTGTCCTGTGAATATACTCACCCCGCCTCCACCCACCGCCAAACCAGTGTGGACTTTACACCACTCGCTTCGGGCCGAGATGAGCCCCGCATCAATGCGCATTTGAACAGGAAATTGACTTTGAGTTGCCCATCGAGAGTCAACAGTCGACTGGTCACGGCATCGGCATGTTGAGTTGTAACTCTTGCATAACACTCACAAAACCCATTGCACCAATACAATATCATTACACCAGCGGCGCGCTAATCACTGCGCCACTGCTCCCCATACAAATACTCAACGCCGTTATAGACTGTAGGTCCAGTTAGCGAGCTCCTATTCAAGGCGGGTACGGCACGCGACACATTGCGTTACCACGCACCTGAGTTCGATTCCCTGCCTGTCCGAGTTACTCGTGCCTCCCCTAGATCCACTCAACCTTAAATTGGTAACTGATGCGATGTGTGAACGTTAGCGCTAGGGGAGGCAAAGGCGGCCCTCGCTTTTTGTGGGTAACATCCACTTCTGGACACGAATTCCCCGACCCGTTGTAGGTCGTGGGGGTTACTTGACCATACTTTGCCAGGCTGGTCAGTGCGGGTCGGTGAATGCGGGGGAGCATAGACGTCGAAGCATAGAAAGTACGGTACAACAGTGGATTTACAGAGAAGTAATTGAAATCAATGCATGCAACCCACATGGTGATCACAATGCACGTGCTCTCTCGCTGGGAGATAATTTACACCGAGCGCGAACGTGATGACTCGCGTCAAGCAGGCTCATGATAACGAGGATTTACGGGGCCAAGAGGCACACCCGGGCCGCCTTTGTCTCTCCCGGACAATACCGCACCGCGCAGCCAAATTAATTTACCACTGAGCCGACCTAGAGGAGGCCCACAACGGGGGTAAATCAACGTGAGCGGCCGCATTAGCGAACAGTTATCGCCGTGCTCCCACGTGCGCCGTAACATTTTGCGGGAATGAGTCCGCGTTCCGGCCCGGTTCTTACATGCGCGTGATGTTGTCTGCGTGACGCCAGCGCTCTTGCTCCCGTTCCATCTCCTCCTTCTCGCCATAGTGGTCCTCTTCGCCCCCATCCCCATCGTACTCATCGTCGTCGTCGTCGTCATGATCAGCATCTCCATCCACTGCTCGCCACGCATCCGCGAGCTGTCGCACCGCGGTGATGGCGCCGGGCTCCGTGCAGGAGATGGAGCCGGGGTCGCAGCGGCAGAGTCGGGGGCAGCTCCCAGCGAAGGGACCTGGCGCGGAACCCCGCGGGGGGGATGCGGCCCCGACGAGGAGGAGGGAGCAGCAGCAGCAGGCGAGCAGCCAGAGGCGGAGGAGCGGCGAGTGGCTCCGCGTTTGGGGTCGTTCCATGGCGCGCTCGCAGTTGGCGGGGGATGAGAGGGCTGGAGCGGAGTCGGACTTCTCTGCCTTGAACGCAGCCCCCCCCCCCCCCCCGTCTCGAAGCGAAGATCTGTGGGCTGTGACTCAGACCCAGACTAATGACCCTGCCTCCCACGTCTTATACCGAGATGATGCCGAGCCCAGAACCGAGAGTACTAATATCAGAGCCGATAGCCCTGGCTCGAATAAATAGACTCCAATCCAGCCTCGATCCTTAATTCGTAACCCGAACCCAAGATATAGATTAGACCTAGACTTGAACTGGACCTAGATAATCTGAGCCCAGACCCCTAAACCCTAACCCTGGCTCTAAACCCAGGCCCAGATTCACACTTTAATCTCAAACCCAGATCCAGAATCAAACCCAGTTTCCCGGCTTCGTCGACTACAAATGAACGATCTCTCTCTGCGCGGCCGTCAGCGAAACGAGGGGGTACAAGGCGCTGCCCCCTTCATCCCCAGTGCAGCACAGCAGGTGCGTTGGGGGGGGGCGGGGTGCGAGTGAGGGGGGTCCCTCGGCTGAGACCCCGACGTGAGCGTTTCAGGGGCTCTCTGCGCCCGAGGGGCTCTTCGTGGTTCTTTGGTGCCCCAAGGGCGCGGGGCTTTGCGATCTCCCGGTCCGTGACTCCTGCTCCTCGCTCTGATCAGAGACGCCAGAGGCTCCGCGGGCAGAGGGGAGAGTAGGGGGCGGGTGTGGGGGGAGGGGTGGCTGGGGTGGTGATGGGTGAGGTTAGGGGCAGTGGTGGGTGTGGTGGTGGTGATGATGATGGCGATGGGTGGGATATGCTGGGTCGGTGGAAGATCTGGGGTATGCGCTTCGAGTGCAAGATGTTGGCTACGAGATTATGGTAAGAGATGCCGAGTGTGAGAGATGATGTGTGTGTGTGTAGAGTGAGTTGCTGTGTGTGTGTGTATAGTGAGATGCTGTGTGTGTGTGTAGAGTGAGATGCTGTGTGTGTGTGTAGAGTGAGGTGCTGTGTGTGTGTGTAGAGTGAGATGCTGTGTGTGTAGAGTGAGATGGTGTGTGTGTGTAGAGAGAGGTGCTGTGTGTGTGTGTAGAGTGAGGTGCTGTGTGTGTGTGTAGAGTGAGGTGCTATGTGTGTGTGTAGAGTGAGGTGCTGTGTGTGTGTAGAGAGAGGTGATGTGTGTGTGTGTGTAGAGTGAGATGCTGTGTGTGTGTAGAGTGAGATGCTGTGTGTGTGTGTGTAGAGTGAGGTGCTGTGTGTGTGTAGAGTGAGGTGATGTGTGTGTGTGTGTAGAGTGAGATGCTGTGTGTGTAGAGTGAGATGCTGTGTGTGTGTGTGTAGAGTGAGGTGCTGTGTGTGTGTGTAGAGTGAGATGCTGTGTGTGTAGATTGAGATGCTGTGTGTGTGTGTGTAGAGTGAGGTGCTGTGTGTGTGTAGAGTGAGGTGCTGTGTGTGTGTGCAGAGTGAGGTGCTGTGTGTGTGTGTGCAGAGTGAGGTGCTGTGTGTGTGTAGAGTGAGGTGCTGTGTGTGTGTGTAGAGTGAGATGCTGTGTGTGTGTGTAGAGTGAGGTGCTGTGTGTGTGTGTAGAGTGAGATGCTGTGTGTGTGTGTGTGTAGAGTGAGGTGCTGTGTGTGTGTGTAAAGTGAGGTGCTGTGTGTGTGTAGAGTGAGATGCTGTGTGTGTGTGTAGAGTGAGATGCTGTGTGTGTGTGTGTAGAGTGAGATGCTGTGTGTGTGTGTAGAGTGAGGTGCTGTGTGTGTGTAGAGTGAGGTGCTGTGTGTGTGTAGAGTGAGATGCTGTGTGTGTGTGTAGAGTGAGGTGCTGTGTGTGTGTGTGTAGAGTGAGATGCTGTGTGTGTGTGTGTGTGTAGAGTGAGATGCTGTGTGTGTGTAGAGTGAGGTGCTGTGTGTGTGTGTAGAGTGTGATGCTGTGTGTGTGTGTAGAGTGAGGTGCTGTGTGTGTGTGTGTAGATTGTGATGCTGTGTGTGTGTGTAGAGTGAGATGCTGTGTGTGTGTGTAGAGTGAGGTGCTGTGTGTGTGTGTAGAGTGAGGTGCTGTGTGTGTGTGTAGAGTGAGGTGCTGTGTGTGTAGAGTGAGATGCTGTGTGTGTGTGTGTGTAGAGTGAGATGCTGTGTGTGTGTAGAGTGAGATGCTGTGTGTGTGTGTAGAGTGAGATGCTGTGTGTGTGTGTAGAGTGAGATGCTGTGTGTGTGTGTAGAGTGAGATGCTGTGTGTGTGTAGAGTGAGATGCTGTGTGTGTGTGTAGAGTGAGATGCTGTGTGTGTGTATAGAGTGAGATGCTGTGTGTGTGTAGAGTGTGATGCTGTGTCTGTGTAGAGTGAGATGCTGTGTGTGTGTGTAGAGTGAGATGCTGTGTGTGTGTGTGTAGAGTGAGATGCTGTGTGTGTGTGTAGAGTGAGATGCTGTGTGTGTGTAGAGTGAGATGCTGTGTGTGTGTGTAGAGTGAGATGCTGTGTGTGTGTGTAGAGTGTGATGCTGTGTGTGTGTAGAGTGAGATGCTGTGTGTGTGTGTAGAGTGAGATGCTGTGTGTGTGTGTAGAGTGAGATGCTGTGTGTGTGTAGAGTGAGATGCTGTGTGTGTGTGTAGAGTGAGATGCTGTGTGTGTGTGTAGAGTGAGGTGCTGTGTGTGTGTATAGTGAGATGCTGTGTGTGTGTGTAGAGTGATATGCTGTGTGTGTGTGTGTAGAGTGAGATGCTGTGTGTGTGTGTGTAGAGTGAGATGCTGTGTGTGTGTGGAGTGAGGTGCTGTGTGTGTGTGTAGAGTGAGATGCTGTGTGTGTGTAGAGTGAGATGCTGTGTGTGTGTGTAGAGTGTGATGCTGTGTGTGTGTGTGTAGAGTGAGATGCTGTGTGTGTGTGTAGAGTGAGGTGCTGTGTGTGTGTGTGTGTAGAGTGAGATGCTGTGTGTGTGTAGAGTGAGGTGCTGTGTGTGTGTAGAGTGATGACAGGTGCTGTGTGTGTGTAGAGAGAGAGGCTGTGTGTGTGTGTAGAGTGAGGTGCTGTGTGTGTGTGTAGAGTGAGGTGCTGTGTGTGTGTGTAGAGTGAGGTGTTGTGTGTGTGTGTAGAGTGAGGTGCTGTGTGTGTGTGTAGAGTGAGGTGCTGTGTGTGTGTGTAGAGTGAGGTGCTGTGTGTGTGTGTAGAGTGAGGTGTTGTGTGTGTGTGTAGAGTGAGATGCTGTGTGTGTGTGTAGAGTGAGATGCTGTGTGTGTAGAGTGAGATGCTGTGTGTGTGTGTAGAGTGTGATGCTGTGTGTGTGTGTAGAGTGAGGTGCTGTGTGTGTGTAGAGTGATACAGTGCTGTGTGTGTGTGTAGAGTGAGATGTTGTGTGTGTGTGTAGAGTGTGATGCTGTGTGTGTGTAGTGTGAGGTGCTGTGTGTGTGTAGAGTGAGGTGCTGTGTGTGTGTAGAGTGAGGTGCTGTGTGTGTGTGTGGAGAGTGTGATGCTGTGTGTGTGTGTAGAGTGAGATGCTGTGTGTGTAGAGTGAGATGCTGTGTGTGTGTGTAGAGTGTGATGCTGTGTGTGTGTGTAGAGTGATACAGGTGCTGTGTGTGTGTAGAGTGATATGCTGTGTGTGTGTGTAGAGTGTGATGCTGTGTGTGTGTGTAGAGTGAGATGCTGTGTGTGTAGAGTGAGGTGCTGTGTGTGTGTAGAGTGAGGTGCTGTGTGTGTGTGTAGAGTGAGAATCTGTGTGTGTGTGTAGAGTGAGATGGTGTGTGTGTGTGTAGAGTGAGAATCTGTGTGTGTGTGTAGAGTAAGATGCTGTGTGTGTGTGTGTAGAGTGAGGTGCTGTGTGTGTGTAGAGTGAGGTGCTGTGTGTGTGTGTAGAGTGAGAATCTGTGTGTGTGTGTAGAGTGAGATGGTGTGTGTGTGTAGAGTGTGATGCTGTGTGTGTGTGTGTGTCGAGTGAGATGCTGTGTGTGTGTGTAGAGTGAGATGCTGTGTGTGTGTATAGAGTGAGATGCTGTGTGTGTGTAGAGTGTGATGCTGTGTGTGTGTAGAGTGAGATGCTGTGTGTGTGTGTAGAGTGAGATGCTGTGTGTGTGTGTAGAGTGAGATGCTGTGTGTGTGTGTAGAGTGAGATGCTGTGTGTGTGTAGAGTGAGATGCTGTGTGTGTGTGTAGAGTGAGATGCTGTGTGTGTGTGTAGAGTGTGATGCTGTGTGTGTGTAGAGTGAGATGCTGTGTGTGTGTGTAGAGTGAGATGCTGTGTGTGTGTAGAGTGAGAGGCTGTGTGTGTAGAGTGAGATGCTGTGTGTGTGTGTGTAGAGTGAGATGCTGTGTGTGTGTGTAGAGTGAGGTGCTGTGTGTGTGTATAGTGAGATGCTGTGTGTGTGTGTAGAGTGATATGCTGTGTGTGTGTGTAGAGTGAGATGCTGTGTGTGTGTGTAGAGTGAGATGCTGTGTGTGTGTGGAGTGAGGTGCTGTGTGTGTGTGTAGAGTGAGATGCTGTGTGTGTGTAGAGTGAGATGCTGTGTGTGTGTGTAGAGTGTGATGCTGTGTGTGTGTGTGTAGAGTGAGATGCTGTGTGTGTGTGTAGAGTGAGGTGCTGTGTGTGTGTGTGTGTAGAGTGAGATGCTGTGTGTGTGTGTAGAGTGAGGTGCTGTGTGTGTGTAGAGTGAGGTGCTGTGTGTGTGTAGAGTGAGATGCTGTGTGTGTGTGTAGAGTGAGGTGCTGTGTGTGTGTGTAGAGTGAGGTGCTGTGTGTGTGTGTAGAGTGAGGTGCTGTGTGTGTGTGTGTGTAGAGTGAGGTGCTGTGTGTGTGTGTAGAGTGAGGTGTTGTGTGTGTGTGTAGAGTGAGATGCTGTGTGTGTGTGTAGAGTGAGGTGCTGTGTGTGTGTGTAGAGTGAGCTGTTGTGTGTGTGTGTAGAGTGTGATGCTGTGTGTGTGTAGTGTGAGGTGCTGTGTGTGTGTGTAGAGTGAGGTGCTGTGTGTGTGTAGAGTGAGGTGCTGTGTGTGTGTGTGTAGAGTGTGATGCTGTGTGTGTGTGTAGAGTGAGATGCTGTGTGTGTAGAGTGAGATGCTGTGTGTGTGTGTAGAGTGTGATGCTGTGTGTGTGTG